TATCAATTCCTAGGGTATCGTTGAATCCCTAAGCTTGTCATATCATCAGTTGTGCATCATCTCTCAGAAAAGTTGGATATACTTGCCATTTCATTTCAAGTTTGAGATATTCATTAAAGCTGTTAATTTTTTTTGTTGTATGTAGAGTTCTGAGTAAATATACGTATAAAAAGATCGGTGACCCAGTACTGGAATAATTTCATTTACATCGTGTAATAGTCACCTTAGTGAAATTTGGAAATTTTTTGGTAGTTAAAAAATAACTTAAAAAATAATAATAAATTTTTTGGTAGTTAAAAAATAATAATAATAGTTAAAGAAAATCGTAAAGCAATCTAATAAGTATTTTTAGGGTTTTTTTTACACCGTAACGAGTGATTATGTTATTTCTAGAATAATAATTATGAGCGTTATTGGGTTTTAAATGTATATAAAGTATATCCTTACCAAAACTCTATAAAACATACATAAAATATCGAAAGATTGCAGTTAGTGTTCAACGCTTTCATTTGACATTACCCAATAGCTTTCAAAGGTATTTGTAACTATCAATTTGACAATTCCGATTTACGTCATATGAACGTTATCGTTCATTCAATATCATTTAATAATATATCGCGATCGCAATTGCTTTCATATTTCAAATAGTTGTAGCGTGAAGTTCACGAATGTCTTTCGAATATCAAATTAAAAGTGATCTGAGAAACATTTTTTTTTAGACATTAGGCCACTGATTGCCTCATCACGCTAGAATCGAATAGGGGACTTGATAATTTTTCTGCCAACTATTCCTTGAGGAATGTAGTAAAGGTACAGACTATTAAAAAAAGCACGAGCCCAATTTATTCCCTGTCCACTACATTTACACTTCTCTGGTAAATTGGTAAGTTTATAATAAAATATTATTATTAACGTTAGACAAGCATCAATGATACAGAACAATAAAACCGCATTATTGAACGATTGTATTTAAAGCAGTTGTGAAGGAAAATGGAATCTATCGAGCGTCCGATAGTGGTTATCGGTATAATCGTATTAATTGGTGAGTCACAGTGTCGAATCGGTTCTATCGACCCAGTCCTCTCCCGCCTCTGAACTTGGCGACTTGTACGATTGCGTACTCGATAATATATTGATAATATTCGCATACATTGACTATATTAAAACTGACCCTTGTTTATATTAATGAAAGTGATTTAAAGATTAATACACACGGATTGAAATATTGATTTCCATGAATTCGGATGAATAATTGATTTACTTTCGATTGCCAGAGGCTCCTTGATATTTAACTACTATGTTATTAATTTGCGAAAAATGCAATTTGTCTTTTTTTTTATTTTATTGTATACTAGCTTTCCGTAAGCGGCTTTACTCGTGTCCTGTATTTAAAGATATAACTTCATCTTGAATTACTCCGCATATTTATGATTTGCCTCCTCCGCATTTTACGACCTCCGTAGCCGAGTGGTTCGCACGCCGGTTTCAAGGTGTCGCCATCTCTGAGGTCCCGGGTTCGATTCCCGGTCGGGTCAATGTAGAAAATGAACTTTTCTATATTGACTCTGGTCTGGGTGTTGTGGTACCTTCGTTGTCTCAGATACTCCATAATACGGGGGCTTTAGCTACTCATCTTGGAATCTGAGCAATGTATGTGATGTTGTTCAATATTTATTTATTTATGAAAACAGTAATAAAATGTAGATTAAAAAGATTTAGATGTTAAGACAGCAGAAAGAGATTTGTTTTGTATTATGTATAGATTATATTGTATTCGGTGTCTATTTGTCGCTACAAAATAAGTCATATTTCGTTATTAATATTTGATTAATTTTGAATGAATTCATAACATAAAATTTCCAAAGGCCTGTTATAATTTTCTATAGAGCAATAAATCTAGATGTAGGCACACAAAATTAATTCCATTTATTATTATAATAGGTCACCATAATTAGAATGAGTGGGTTAAGCTCAACGACTGTATCCAGTAGACAAGTGTAGGTTGGTAGAAAACGAGTTTTAGTCCTAATAAGTAAATTCCTGTATTAATTTTCATAAGTCAATGCAGAATTTAATTATAATATCTCTGTTTCTATCATAATCTTTGTTTTATAGAAAAATACTTATATGTGTTAAACTTTCAGCTCTTCTTGATCAATGCAGCTCATTTAAATCAGGTATTTTAGGAAATTATTTGACGACGGTTTATTATCCATGCGAAGCCGGGGCAGGTTTCTAGTATATGTGTTATATATGTTATACCTATATAATCCAGGATTGGATGGCATAGTCAAAGAAACGACAAAGAACACTTAAAGCTACGCCTAAAGACAACAGACGAAAAGAGACGAAACCAACGTGCCCGTGCATGAAATAGAGCATTATAAACTATTTTTAATTAATTACCCTTCAAATCATTACGATTATTGTAAGAATTCCCAATCCTAATCATCGACTACAAAGTTACACTACTTACATATTTATCAATTTTCCCTATAAAAAAGAGTATAATAGCGAGAGGAAATGAACAAAACGCTGAATTCAGAGTTGTGATTTTTCTCTTGTGAACTTACTAATAAGTAGCTCGGTGGCGTAGAGGATAAGAGCCGCGGCCCGCGATCGTTGTTGTTAAGCAACTTTTGAAAGGGTCGGTCACGGGATGGGTGACCAAAAAATTATTATCTCGAGCTACTTCGTGCTTCGGAAGGCGGGTAAGCCGTTCGTCCCGGCTGCATTTGCAGTCGTTAATACCCTCCAATTCGCATTGGGCCAGCGTAGAGGGTCATGGCCCATCCTCCTTAATCATCCATAAGGAAGGCCTGAGCCCCTGCAATGGGGACGTAAATGGGCTGATGATCACGATGAACTTACTATTGAGATTATTGCAACTTAGCAACTGAAAATAACATGATAGAGCTACACATAAGCACATAATAAAGCTACAAAAATTGTTTTCGAATTAGATGATAGGTATTTTAGCCGAAACAGAATTATGACAAAACGATGAACGTAGAACAAAAAGTTTGCGAAATTGCAATCTAAATACCTCCGTTTCGAACTGAAAAACCTGCCTGGACGTTATTTATTATATTTTTATTTGTAAAGTTGGTGATATTTTGTTTAGGCGCCCTCTTCATTTACTTGTTGCTTAGCTTTCAATTATCATCGTTTTTGCGTTTTACTTAATTAATTTGTTTATTTAATAGATATTTTCTTAGTACATTTTAATGTAAACTTAACGAGTTTACCCTTTTCCTACACTGATACTATAAGTAAACTCTGGATCTGCATACCGATAGTCTCTAGACGGACATCAAAGGGAATATTATGTTTTATAACACGTACTCTATACCCTTCGGACGCAAAGTATTTACGAGGGTTGTTCGGATTACTCAGTCCGTTCGAAATCATATAAATTGCCCCCCATCCTTTATCTCGGCGAACGGCATGTTTTACGTACGAACTTGATTGCCGTATGCTTTTTATAGCTGCAACGTGATAGGTCCACATTGCAATTTGGGATTGTTTCACTGGTGCCTGATGTTTACATCTCAGAAACCAATTGCTTTAAAAATCGACCATGACACATCACCTAGCACGTAATGCTGGGTGTTAACGATTGCAGATGCAGTCGATGCCAACGGATTTACGTACCTTCCGCAACATGGGAGAGCTGGAGATATTAAATCTTCGGTCACCCATCCTACGGCCAGACCTTGCGAAAGTGATTAACTTCGCATCGCAGACCGAACGTTCTAACCACTATGTCATAAAGCTAATAAGATCACTCTCATACTAACTTGCAGCAAATATAGGACATTTCAAACTTCTAATAGATAAGAAGAAAATACACGTAAACCGGTTTAAAAATATTTGTTGAAGTCGTCTTCGTAATTTTTCGACTCATTTAGTAAAAAACGTTTATTTAGTATGAGTTGTTTAAAAGTTCTCGCATTTTTTTTTCTAAAGTTTAATGTAACACGACGCGGAGGGAGCTATGTTGGCACGTTGCCAGAACGTCGGCGACATACAACATAGTCTTAGGAACCGCCCTCTAAACCTGATGAAGAGATAAATACTGAACTGCATAGCGACAAAACGAAAAAAGTTTACTACAGTAGTGTAAAGTTTTGACTCTTGTATAATGAGCTTCGCCACTACACATGTGTGTCTAAATAAGGGTTAAGACACATATATGAAACAGTAGTTTGTAATTACTATCAAGAAACTATCGTTTTTCGTGTGAAGGAACGTGACTTGTTGATTGGAGTTTGGAATTTAGAAGCTTTTGTCCCTACGCTGGTTTTTTATATACCAATGACTTAAATCTTCGCTTTTTTATTAAACAATCAAAAAGTCAATTCGAAATTATAACAAGATAAAGCAATTAGCGTTAAAGCAACAGAGAGAATATTATTTTACACACCGACAATGTAAAAGTATTTTTGATGAACAATGAATTAAACATCACAACGGCGTTTTCAATTATACTATCTACTTATAATAGGCACGATATTATTAGTCCAATGTCTTATTCAAAAATCATTATGTGTCGTACGTTTGTTACTATGTGATTAAGTAACATGAACTGTAAAATAAAGTTTTCATTCAAGCTCCATTGACTCGCTCATTAACGATAACATAAGTAGAATTAGGGCCCTGTTAATTACTAAAATATAAACAAAATAAACTCCTAAGTTAACGAAAAAACTTATTTAAATATAGTTGAAAGGCAAACCGAGATAGATGAAGGTTTATGTACTAAATTTACGGTGAATAAAATACTTCATAGATGAATGTAGACTCTTGAATTTCATATGATGTACTGCGTCAGAAGCGGCATATATTGATCATCTAAAAATATTTCAGAACGAAGCTGGCAAGCTTATTGTGATATTAATGTTTTTTGTTTCTAATTGGTCTGTCCAATCAGTTAAGTAATTTTTATAAGTTGTTTTTTGTAGATGGTTGATTTAATTACAGGGTTTATTTGTTCACAGGTGGAAGAGATACGGGAGATGATAGACAAGATCCAAGCGAACGTCGAAGAGGTTAAGAAGAAGCATAGCGCCATCCTATCAGCACCGCAGTCAGATGAAAGTAAGTCACACAAAACGTGACCACTATAATTCGTAGGAATTAACATGACACCCGAGGGCCTATTCTATTTGTCTTCGAACGAAAATCTTTGAAATTCGAATCGTTCTTATAGTTTTGTTAAAATCATACCCGTGAAGGTTATCATAGCTGTGTATTATACTGTTTATCAATGTTAGGTACTACCTCCTTCGAAAAATGCGTTTCTTTGGAGTCATAAGCGTATATTAACGTATAAGTATAGACGAAATATCGTATTGTGAGTAATAAAATAGGCGTTCAGATGTCATATTAATGCGTACGAGTAGTAGACGCCAGTTCCTTTGCTAGGCAGAAAGAGAGGAACAACAGCCGCAAGTCACCGACTTAACCCAAGTTTTTAATTATTTTCACATTCATAACTCTTCTTATATCGCTCATCGATGTTGATTGGCTTCCAATATATTGAATTTTGTTCAATGTATAATAAAAATAATTTTAAGTCCTATATTCTAAACCAATAAATCAATCACAGAACATAGAGAGAGAATAGAAGTAGTAAGTGGGCGGGGCAAGCGTCGCTGGCATATGCGCTTTTACTCATATGACGCCCTTTCCTCGGTTTTATGTTTGTCAGTCGTTCGTCAATCGTCGAGTGGTGATTTTACTGATTTTTTCTATAAAAAATACCGTTTTGTGCTATTATCACTTGCCAAAAACAAAACAAAGTATACAATCTAACTAATGCAAACATTTCCTTTCACTGGTAAGTACAATTTTAGTGCTAAAATATAAAAAACGTAATAATTTGACACAATTTTAAATAAAATATACATTGTTTGCTCAAACCAACATTAATGTTTCTAACCCCGTTTCTAGACAGCAATGTAAATCATATTGTGCACTTTTGCAAAAAATAGTGCTGTGCCTCCATTTGTCTGAAATGTACCGATAGGCTGCTGCTGCTCGGAATCGTATTGTTAATTATATGGATCGTAATCGATAACTAAAACAAATTTATTTAGAGCTTTTCTTTCATCATTTCATAACAACGTTATGGATAAGTAAGATAAGATAAGTAAGATAAGATAATAAGATAAGTGAACATGCCATAATTATATAAAAATAAATACTACTGTTTAAAAGAGAAAATAAAAGATGAATTGATACTGAACAGATGAAATAATGAACTATCCAGGCACTTTTTTACGAAGATTCGGTTAATTATTTACACGCAGATAAATATTAAAAAATACTGATGTGCTATAAATATCTAAGTTACGAAGTATATCAACGTTTTATTAACAATGTATAAATCAAACGAAACTTCATGAAAAGCTACGAGTGTTGGCCTAATAGGTCTTATTAGAAACTGGTGAAACTGGATTTCACTTATTTTGCATTACTTATATTTCAGTTTCCCTAATAACTTTACAACGGATTGCCCTGTTTACATAATTTATTTTGTCCTATCCGTTTTAGACCTAAACCTATCAAATGAATTCCAAAACAACATATCCTATTAATATCATAAATGTGAAAGTTTCTTTGTTTGGATGTTTGTACGTCAATCACGCCGAAACTACTGAACGGATTTTGATGAAATTTGGATACAGATAGGGTGTTAGCTGACTTAGATAATAGGATACTTTTTATCCCACTAAACATTTCCCTAGGGTCCACGCGGGCGAGGCCGCTGGCGTAAGCTAGTTATCTATACAAACAAAAAATCATGTTTTCAACTAACGTAATATTGTTGGTGGTGTGAATTTAATTTACAAAATTAATTTATAGGCGTCAATTTAATTTACTTTATTATGCTGATTCATAATCGGAAACCATTATTATAGAAATCGACTTAAGATAGCCACTTTAAAGAACCGCCCACAGAACAGCTTTTATCAGTTTTTTTGTTGCTCCATATTTGCACATAAGTTTATAAACGCATGTTTCAAACGGATGTGACTTTATATGTAGATTGACGTTTGTACATACTTATCGCTTTTGTGTCTGTCTTCAAACTTTTTTGTCACGGCTTTCAAACTCATACTTGACCAGCGATTCCTTATTGTCCAGTCGTTGCAATTAAAAATGTAGGTATTATTATTATTACAGTTATAAAACTTAGAATAATAAAGTAAAACAAACATGGCTATGATCAATTTATTATTGTAATGATCATTTTAGTTATTATAAAATGAAATGAAAATATCTTTATTCAAGTAGGCTATCACAAGCACTTTGAATCGTCCAAAAAATTTTTTTCCCCTACCACTTGTTCAGGACGTCTTTTAGCTGACAAGAAGAACAAGCGAAAGAAACTTACCAGCCCTTCATCATAAGTAATATTATTTACATAAATCATGTCATTTCATATCATATCACAATAATAAATACAACTTTCAAAGTCTGTAGGACATAGGTTGAACATATAATTAGTCTTTATAGAACAAAGCGATGGCTATTCATTCCATGCATTGCGATTCTTAAAATAATCATCAACTTTATAACAGCCAGTACTCATAAGTATGTTCATTACATGAATTTTAAATTTATTTATGGGTAGGTCAACTACATTTTGTCGAACTTTATTGAACATAGCAATGTAAATGCATTGATCCTCTGGTTTTCTGAAGTCTGAAGCTTGGAACGGCAAGTTTATTTTTATTTCTTGTGTTATGATTATGAACACTACTTTTTTTGTGAAGGAATCGTAATGTTTTCTTGCTTAGATAATATTTTCATTGATGTATTGAGAGGCAACAGTCAAAATATTTCTTTAAATATTTCTCTGAGAGATTCTCTAGACCGTAAATTATATATAGCGTGGACAGCTCTCATTTGTAGAATAAAAATATCTTGAATGCTAGCCGCAGAACCCCACAACAAAAGATTATACGTCATTACACTATGAAAATAACTAAAATATACCAATCCTGCCGTTTCAACATTTGTCAAGAGTCTAATTTTCTTAACAGCAAATGCTGCAGAACTCAGTCTACTTGATAAATTATCAATATGAGGATCCCATTGCAGTCGGGAATCTAGTGTAATACCAAGGAACTTTGTCGATTTCACCAACTCAACTTTTTCACTATTTACATTTATAAGTGTATTAATATGCCTCACATTAGGTAATGCAAACTTTATGTATTTCATTTTATTTGAATTAAGCTTTAAATAATTACTATCAAACCACTGTAGAACATTGTCGAACTGAATTACATTTAACTGTTTCATAACAAAATTTAAACCTCTTATTTCATCAACTAATATTATGTCACATCACTAATATGCACAATCGGAATGATACCAGTAAGGAAAAAATACAAATTAGGCTTAATGTAATTAATAGAAAAATTTTGTTGGTTTCTTAATTTTTGTTTTTTTTTTACACTTTCCCTCGCTTAATTATATTACTCCACAGACATATGATAGAGTTTATCATTAAGTTTTCTTAGTTTTTGTACTGCGTTTTTTAAAAGAAGTAATATAGGGAAAAGCGTTATTTTTCAATATTCACTTGGTTACAGCAAAATCTAATCTTAATAGTTCGCACATAAAATGATGTCCCCAATTTTTTAAAATGTACATAATCTTAAAATATTATTTCCCTTCTGGTATCCCCGTATACAGCCACGTGACAGTTCAACATTCATGTTAAAGTAAATTATTTATTATCACGTTGAATTAGAGTTTGTTTTTAATCGTGTGATTTCTTAGCTTAGTATCTTTTTGGGATTTTGTTTATGTTATCACGAACGTATCGCGTGGCAGTTTTTCATGTAGTGAACAAAATGATCATTTCATCTAATCTGTATTTGTGTGCGGAGAGGCGACACTCGGTTCCCATACTAAATCAATGTCATTATACTTCTATTCTCTCTCTATGTTCTGTGAAATCAATGGTACGGTATTTATAGAAAACTATTTTACTTCTAAAAGTTTTTCTTCATCCCATTTGTCACGTTGCCATAGTAATTCTATCTAAAAATATAATTATTTACTCTTCATGGAAATACTTTGATGATGCGTCGCGTGGCGTGGGTTGTTGGAAGTTAGTGGAAGAATGCCCACACATTAATTGAAGGGCGAAGTTGGTAGCATTTACCCAGACGAGGGGGCGTCCCATAATCTACGTTCATGGTAAATTGTCTGCATTTTGTTAGATCGTAACTCTCCCACTCGTTTGCTATAACATCTTCAAATCATATTATTGATAGAATGTGGGTAGATAGTTGCTTTTATTACTAGAAAATATATGAAAATAAATTTAAATCGCAAACTAATACATTACACATAAACACACAAGTATAAATTACTCCTAAGACATTATACGAATATTAATAAAATTTTACTAAGAATTTACGACATTTTTTTTCTTTATCAGATACTAGCTGTTTCACCGTGACTTCGCCCTCGTAAATTATAGCCTATGCCACCCGCAAGTGATGTAGCACAAACATACGAAGTAAAATTTTTGCCCCTTTATAATATTAGTATAGAATTATTATAATTCATAGTATTCGCGGTGAACGCAAAAAAATGTTAGACGTCTCTATCTCGCCTGCGATTATAGTTAATGTGATAGCGCCATAGAAATAAATTTTTATCTATAAAGCTGAGTAGGGGTGGGTTTTGATGAGAAATTAGGTACACACGGCTACACACGGCACGCCAGGGTTACCACAATGTGTAAAATTTCCCGCAATGGATTTTGACCTCTACACTCAAAATATACAGTTTAGTATAGTCTGATGTGCAGTTAACTGTGCCCAGAAATGGTAGGTTACTATACCTTTTCTATTTACTTCCTAGTTGTCTTATAAATTATGTTGCCGGAATGATCCCCTAGTTACTTACCGTGTCTCGTAAATTCTGCTTTGTCCTATTTGTACAGTCAACATCACATCGCGGTACCCAAAACTGTGAAATAAATATTTATGTTTATACTTGATATGTTTATAAGTTTATAATTTTATAATTCCATGGTAACCATTAATTCTGTGTATTATGAATTATTT